GGTTTAAACCCGCCACCACCCCCTGGAAACCAAAAAAACCCCCCCCTCCAGGGGGCCGCCACCCTCCTCCCCCAGGTAACCCCACCATCCCCCTCCGGAAAACCGGGCCCCCAACCCTCCCCCAGGTAAACCGGCCCCAAACCCCCTCCAGGGAAAACCGCCACCCCCCTCCTCCAAGGTAAAAATGCCCCCCCACCCCCCCGAAAACCAACCCCCCACCCCCTCCAGGTTAAAAACCCGCCCCCAACCCCTCCTAGTTAAACCCGGCACCCCACCCCCCCTCCAGGGAACCAAACCCCCACCCTCCCCAGGGAAAAAAGCCACCACCCCCCCAGGAACCTGCCAACCCCCCCTCCTCCGGTAAAATACCCCCAAACCCCCCCAGGGGAACCGGGCCCCCCCCCCCTTAATAAACCCGCCACCCCCCTCCCCTGGGAACCTACCACCACCCCCTCCAGGGTAACCTGCCACCACCCCCACCCGGGTTAAACCCGGCCCCCAACCCCCCAGGGGAAACCCGGCCCCTCCCCCCAAAGGGGGCCTCCCCCAAACCCCCCTCCGGGAAACCGGCCCCCACCCCCTTTTTTTCCCCCAGGGAACCCTTTCAACCCACCCCTCTCCAGGTAACCACCCCACCCTTTCCCCAGGTTTAAACCCCGCCACCACCCCCCCAGGAAAACCGCCACCACCCTCCTCCGGGAAACCAACCCCCCACCCCCCCTCCAGGAAAACCTTTCCACCATCCTTCCGGGGAAACCCACCCCCCCCCCCCAGGGAACCTGGGCCCCCACCCCCTCCAGGGAAACCTGCCACCCCCCCTCCTCCAGGGAACCTGCCCCCATCCTCCTCCCCGGTAACCCGCCACCACCCCCTCCAGGGAACCGGCCCCCCACCCTTCCCCCAGGGAACCTTTCCCCACCCCCTCCAGGTAACCACCCCCACCCCCCCAGGTAACCTTCCACCCCCCCCCTCCAGGTAACCTCCACCATCCTCCCAGGAACCGGCCCCCTTTCCCCCTCCCCCGGTTTCCGGGCCCCCCTCCCTCCTCCAGGTTTTAAATACCACCACCTCCCCAGGGAACCTGCCCCCCCCCTCCTCCCGGGAACCTGCCCCAAACCCTCCCTTTCCCGGGAACCTGCCCCACCCTCCTCCAGGGTAACCTACCACCAATCCTCCTCCAAGGGAACCTGCCATTTTCCCCCCCCCCAAATTTAACCCGGGCCCCCACCCCCTCCAGGTAACCTACCCACCCTCCTCCCAAGTAACCGGGCCCCCATCCTCCCAAATTTAAACCCGGCCCCCAAACCCCCTACCCCGTAAAACCCGCCTCCCCCCCTCCTCCAGGGAACCCCCCCCCCACCCCCCCCCCCCCACCCTCCTCCAGGTAACCCACCACCCCCCCCTCCGGTAACCTTTCCCCCACCCCCCCCCAGGTAACCTGGGCCCCCAACCTCCTCCAGGTAACCCCGCCACCATCCTCTCCCCGGTTAAACCTTTCCACACCCCCCCCTCCAAGGGGGGGGGGGGGGGGGGGGGTGCCACCACCCCCTTCCTCCAGGTAACCTTGGGCCCCATCCCCCTCCAGGGAACCGCCACCATCCTCCTCAGGGAACCCGCCCCATCCTCCTTTCCCGGTTAAACCCGCCACACCCTCCTCCCGGAAACCCTACCACCCCCCTCCTCCAGGTAACCGGGCCCCCATCTCCTCCAGGTTTAAACCCGCCCCCATCCTCCTCCCCGGAACCTTTCCACCCACCCTCCTCCAGGTAACCCCACCCCCCTCCTTTAGGAATCCGCCACCACCCTCCCCCCAGGAAACCTGCCCCCCACCCTCCTCCCGGGTAACCTTCCACCACCCTCCTCCAGGAAAAACCCAAACCCCCACCCTCCCCCAGGGAAAACCCAAACCCCCACCCCCCTCCAGGGAACCTTTCCCCCCACCCCCCCTTTCCCGGTAAACCTACCACCCACCCTCCTCCAGGGGAACCCCGCCCCCCCCCCCTTTTCCCCAGGTAAACCCACCCCACCCTCCTCCCGGTAACCCCACCACCACCCCCCTTTCCCGGAAACCTACCACCACCCTCCCCCAGGAACCGGCCCCCCCCCCCTCCAGGTAACCTGCCCCCACCCTCCTCCAGGGGAACCTGCCACCCCCCCCCTCCAGGAAAACCCAAACCCCCACCCCCCCTCCAAAGGGAAACCTTTACCCACCACCCCCCCTCCAGGTTAACCTGCCCCCAACCCCCCTCCAGGTAACCTTTCCACCCCCTCCTCCAGGTAAAACCCGCCACCCCCCCTCCTCCCCGGGAATGCCACCACCCCCCCAGGTAACCCCGCCACCCCCCCCTCCCCCAGGAAGACCCCGCCACCACCCCCCCCCCCAGGTTAACCCGCCACCCACCCTCCCCCAGGAAAAACCCGCCACCAAACCCCCCTCCCCGGTAACCTGCCACCACCCTCCCCCAAGGGAACCTGTCACCACCCTCCTCCCGGTAACCCCACCCCCCTCCCCCAGGTAAAACCCAAACCCCCACCCTCCTCCAGGAAAACCACCACCACCCCCCCCCTCCAGGTAACCCCACCACCCTCCTCCAGGGGAACCCGCCACCACCCATCCAGGTAACCTGCCCCCCACCCTCCTCCAGGTAACCCAAAAACCCCCCCCCTTTCCCGGTAAAACCCGCCCCCACCCTCCTCCAGGTTTTCCTTCCACCACCCACCCTCCATAACCCACCATCCACCCCCCCCCGGTAACCTACCCCCCACCCTCCTCCAAAGGGGGCCTACCCGCACCCCCTCCAGGTAAACCCCACCCACCCTCCCCCCCAGGTTTTTCCCACCACCACCCTCCTCCAGGTAACCTGCCACCCCACTCTCCTCCAGGTAACCCCACCCCCCAACCCCCCTCCAGGTAACCTGCCACCACCCCCCTCCAGGTAAAACCCGCCACCACCCTCCTCCAGGTAACCTACCCCCCAACCCCCCCTCCGGTAACCCAAACCCCCCACCCCTTTCCCCCAGGTAACCTGCCCCACCCTCCCCCTCCCCGGTAACCCGCCAACCCCCGTCCCGGTAAACCCCACCCCAACCCCCCTCCAGGTAACCGCCACCACCCTCCTCCAGGTAACCGGGCCCCCCACCCTCCAAGGGAACCTACCCACCACCCTCCTCCCGGTAAACCTTTCCCCACCCTCCTCCCGGTAACCTACCACCACCCTCCTCCAGGTAACCTTCCCCCACCCCCTCCAGGGAACCTACCACCACCCCTTTCCCGGTAACCTAAACCCCCCCCTTTCTCCAGGGAACCCAAACCCCCATTCCTTCCCCGGTAACCACCCCACCCTCCTCCAGGGAACCTAACCCCCCACCCCTCCTCCATGGGGAAAACCCCCCCAACCACCACCCCCCTCAAGGGAACCTACCCCACCCCCTCCCGGTAACCTACCACCACCCCCCTCCCAGGTTAAAATCCCCATCCCCTCCGGGAACCTACCCCCACCCTCCTCCAGGTAACCTACCCCACCCCCCTCCAGGTAAACCACCCCACCCACCCCCGGTAACCCCACCACCCCCCCGCCTTTAAAGGTTTAACCCACCACCCTCCTCCCCAGGTAACCCACCACCCCCCCCCTCCAGGTAACCTTCCACCCAACCCTCCCCCAGGTAACCAAACCCCACCCTCCACCATTAACCTACCACCACCCTCCTCCAGGTAAACCCAAAACCACCTCCCCAGGGAACCAACCCCCACCCCCCCAGGGGAACCTACCACCACCCTCCTCCAGGGAACTAACCCCCCACCCTCCCCCAGGGAACCTACCCCACCCTCCCCAGGTAACCAAACCCCCCAACCCCCCTCCAGGAAAAATACCACCCCCCTCCTCCGGTAAAACCCACCCCCAAAATGTGCATGCAAAGAGTACGTAAAACCCTTTTTTCGGGGCAGTAACACACCCTCATTTTAAAGGGGTATCTCCCCCAACCAGGAACCCCGGTTGCAAAAAGGTGATGATGGGGCCCCCTCGTTTAACTATTTACCAGGTTCTAGCCAATAAGAAGATGGTTTTGGCAATCGCAGAGGTTATGTGGGTACCGCTCTCCTGTCTGCCCTTGTCATTCCCATTCTAGAGCTGGTTGAAGCACGGTCTGCTATCTTGTGGCTTCTATTTCTGCCTTGCTTACCGTGGAGTGCACTATACTTATCACTGTACATAGTGTACATATTGCTGTTCTAAATTGGTGAAGGATAATATAAGTCTAAACTTTTTCTACTGTGTTTATTTTGCTCCCATTACACCCGGGGTAACAGGCCAATTGGAATCCTGGGTTGTAATAACCACCCTCCTCCAGGTATCCTGCCACGAGGTTTATCATACTTATCATATCTATTATATCATATCATGGATCCTGCCTCCACCACCTCACTTTCCAAACTATTCCACTTCCTGACAACTCTGTGACTGAAGAAATAATTCCTAACATCCCTATGACTCATCTGAGTTTTCACCTTCCAACTGTGACCCCTTGTTGCTGCGTCCCATCTTTGGAACATCCTGTCTCTGTCCACATTATAAATTCCTCAATGTCGTTATCGTGTCTCTCTCCAGTCCCTCCTGTCCTCCAGTGTTGTCAGGTCGAGTTCCCTTAACCTTCCCTCGTAGGACATGCCCTTTAGCTCCGGGACTAGTCTCGTTTCGAACTTTTGCACTTTCTCTAGTTTCCGGACGTGCTTGACCAGATGTGGGTTCCAAAATGGAGTTACATACTCCAGTATGGGCCTGACGTACACGGTGTACAGAATCCAGAACGACTCCTTACTGATATGCTGGAATGCTAGTCTGTGTGTGTGCGTGCGCGCGCGCGTGTGTGTGTGTGTGTGTGTGTGTGTGGTGTGTGTGTGTGTGTGTGTGTGGTGTGTGTGTGTGTGTGTGTGTGTGTGTGTGTGTGTGTGTGTGTGTGTGTGTGTGTTGTGTGTGTGTGTGTGTGTGTGTGTTGCGCGCGCGCGCGCGTGCAACATGTGAACACATCATCATTAACTAACTAAAACATCCTTTACAGTTTCAGACATTTCTTAAAACGAACTGAAAGCAGGAAATCACTAGTACTAACCTAGCCCCTAACAAACGAAACGAGCACGAATATATGGACTCCCAAAGGCACATAAATCCAATCCGGTGTGCCTCACGCAAGCTAACAAAGGGGGGTGGCATTTACAAAAAGGAAAATACTCCTTCCTGGGGACCAAAAGTAACTCTCATTTAAAACTCTGATCAACTATTTAATTATTATTATAATCATAACTAAGTGTTAATCCCATAAGGTCATACTGCGCTGTAGTTTATAAACACCAACATCAGCATCCAGGAGTAGGGGAGGTTGTTCGTAATCTCTCTCTCTCTTCACAAAGGTACTCGTGTATCAGGCCACAGAGCTTCTATGCAAGCATGTATATGACAGGTTAATTGTCACGCTTTCACCTATAGATTTCTGGGGAAGAGTTATTCATGATCTTTAAATTGTTTCGGTTGCAACGTTAAGCTTTACAGTTAATATTATGGTATGAGAACGGGTTCACCCATCAGCATGGTTCTTGCTAACTTGTTCCTAGAATACCTGGAGACAAAAGTCTTCAATAACTTCATCTTAATCAGCGTAATATGGTCAGGTTATGTACATAATACACTTAGCATCGCACCAGATGAATTAACACTAGAGATTGCTCCTTTAGTATTGCAAACTTTCCAGGATGTATTTCCAAGGTCAACAAGCACTAGCTCCTCAACACTTTGTTGACAGCTTCAATCACTTGTTTCCTGTATTTTTGAAGAAATGGTTCATGCTTCGTCGAGTTGGCTTCTTGGCACTGCTGGCCACACACTTTGTTGAAGTGGCCGAGGTAGGCCACGTTTGTAGCAACAGACCTCAACGATTTCACTGAACACAAACCTATAAAAAATAATAATTATATATGAGTTTTATCGTCTTATTGAGGTTCAGCGTCCAGGGGCAAGATAAACTTTATTCTTCTAATGTAAGTATCACAAGATCAGATTAGGACTGCTGGATCAAGTGGCTATTAGCTAATAGAAAAATAATTATATCTGTAAAAAAAATTACACAGTTTAATATCAGTCTAAGAACTGTTATCTTTCCTTAGCGAACTTCGAAGTCTCAACCCCATCTGTGAAATATTGCTGCCCTCCATGATGCTACCCACGACAGTCTATTACACACAGGCAACTGTAAATAACGGTGATGACCATGGACGGCAGGTGTCAGGAGGCTTGCCCATATCTCGCCAACCCTGGGAATTGAACCCGGGTTGTTTAGATATTCATCTAAACAATATGCCATTGAGCGTAGTTTATAAGCAATCAGTATTACATTACATACACGAAATAATAATATTGTGGAGTGGTAAATGCTACCATTATTGCTGCAACAGTCTGGGGGCATAATCACTGCCGCCGACTTTACTGAAGAAAAGAGAAGATGCAAAAGTGTGTTTATTTTGCAGTGTTTCGACTTGTGCAAAGTTTTATCATAAAGTAGGTAGAATTACCGACAATATGTAAAGTAAAAGGACACAAGTGCAACTAATGTGACATTTACTGTGGCAACGTTTCGCTCTCCAGGAGCTTTATCAAGCCATTACAAACAATACATGGACACAGAGGGTATATAAAGGCTCAGAGTGAGGTGAATACTAGTGAGGTACCATTTCGATGTTCACTAGTGGTAGTAGTAGTAGTAGTAGTAGTAGTGGTAGTGACAAAAGTAATACAATATGGTAGAGCAATTAATTCGTACATGAGTAAAATGATATAAAAGCTATTACTTGGGTAACATAAAAATAGGTTGGACAAATATAAACTGGAATGAGGCAGCTTGCTTCAGTGTTCACTCTCTGTGCTTTGTGTAGTATAACAGGAGAGACTATGTGATGGCAGGGTTTACTGTTTTCAGGAGGATTCTTGCTAAGACTTCGGAGATGGTGAAGCTGCCGCTGTTTCGAATACAATTAAACAAAACAGCGGCAGCTTCACCATCTCCGAAGTCTTAGCAAGAATCCTCCTGAAAACAGTAAACCCTGCCATCACATAGTCTCTCCTGTTATACTACACAAAGCACAGAGAGTGAACACTGAAACACGCTGCCTCATTCCAGTTTATATTTGTCCAACCTATTTTTATGTTACCCAAGTAATAGCTTTTATATCCTTTTACTCATGTACGAATTAATTGCTCTACCATATTGTATTAAATTAGACACATGTACAACTCTTGGGTATCTTTATTGAGGAAACGTTTCGCCACACAGTGGCTTCATCAGTCCATACAAAGGAGAATCTTGAAGAACAGGAGGAGAATGAGGTAATCAGTCCCTCAACCTTGAGTCGATGTGGTCAGTCCATCAATCAACATGTCGGTTCTCTGAACCATTCATCTACATATTGTATTACTTTTGTTACTACCACTACTACTACTACCACTAGTGAACATCGAAATGGTACCTCACTAGTATTACACCTCACTCTGAGCCTTTATATACCCTCTGTGTCCATGTATTGTTTGTAATGGCTTGATAAAGCTCCTGGAGAGCGAAACGTTGCCACAATAAATGTCACATTAGTTGCACTTGTGTTCTTTTACTTTACAAAGTTTTATCAAGTGAAGATTTGGCACAGTTGCAACACAACTAAACGGTGTCCTTCACTGAAGTCATCTGGTGAGATTGTGACGGTGATTACTGGTTAATTAATACTATCATCCCCACTTTATCAGTGAGAGAGAAGATAACATTAACCACTGACAGCTCTATCAGTCAATATACCATAAATGACAATAACCTCGTTACTGAAGGATACTAAAACTAGTAATGGATCAATGGGAGAACATCTTCATCTGTTATAAAATCTTCTGTCAATTTTCCATCTATGAAGATAGACTGGTAACATGTTTTACCGTCCACGTAGCATCAGTGACACGAAAATATCACTTACTTTTCAGGTCAACCATTAAGTTTATGGAATATACATCACATCATTATAAAACACATCTTGTGATATATATATATATATAATTTGTTCTGCTAAGTAGACAGGTAAGCCAGCGGAAGGCTCAGTCACATAATCAAGAAACTCCACTGAGCTGGTCATAGTATGTCCCTCGTCAGAAGAGACTGCCCCGTTCCTCACAGTGCACAACATACCTCTTCCTCTCCTCCAGAACCAACTGTGATGTACCTGTGGTGCAGACGAGGGGGCCGTGAGAGAAGACTCCCCTGACAGTGTCCATGTCGTAGAGGGTCTTGTAAAAGCCTGTGTTGATATTTCTGTCCTTGACTTTTGTAAGGGTGTGTCTTAGGTACCAAAAGTCCTCCGGCACGTCAGTTACTTCGCTCTGGGAAGGCTTCAGGTCATTGTAAAAGAACTTCCACTGGAGTCGGTAACCCGTAGGCTTTTTCTTGTTTTCCTTTATCTTCTTTCTCGATTCATCCTCTGAGCTGTAAGTAACAGGGAACTGCAGTAACTGATAATTATTATAATTATTATGATAAAAACTGAAATTTTATCCTTGGACTTATTTATCGCGCTGACTAAAATAATCATCATTCATCAAAATTAAGGTGCCAAACAATACTAGAAGAGAGGTAAATCCTGTCGCTCCCACTGGCTTAGAAACCCCAGAATCATTGCAATTCTATCCCAATTCTTTATTTTTTAATCCCATGTTAGTCTGTTATATTTGCTCTCATACTTGTGATTAACGAGGCTGTAAGTAAACTTGCATGCCTAAATTTTGTTTCTGAGGTTATGTACCTAGTTTTGTTTTCATTTAAATGTTCATCTGCGCTAATTAAAGGCATTGACCGCCTTGTATCGTTTACACAGTAAATAAACAATAACTCGAATATCAATTTTTGTTTGTTTGAAACTAATTTTGTAAAGGATCATTATTTGTGTCTGTCACGGGTAATGAACTAAGATTTAATCTCGACCTTAAGAGGCACGTAAGTTCCTCCGTCTTCTAATAACATCTTCATTTTTTCACTATAATCTACCTCGTCCATAATTACTATCGCATTTGCTTTGTCTGTTTCGTAAGGTGAAGTCCAGGATCTTTCCTTAATTCATGGTATAACTTAACAGCAAATGCGATAGTAATTATGGACAAGGTAGATAATTGAGAAACAATAAACATGTTATTAGAAGACGGGGAAATTTATGTGTGAACGTTATAATAATATACAATACCGGTAAGTTGATAATTAAGACACATGTGCAACAGTTAGGTATCTTCCGAAACTTTTCGCCTGTACAATAAGCTTCTTCAGTCGAATACAGAGGAAGCAGCAGAAGCAGTAGCGATGTAAAAGCGATGTAATCAGTCCGTCAGCCTTCAAGACGTAGTTTTGAGGTGGTCAGTCCCTCAGCCTGGAGAAGAATATTGTTCCATAGTCTGGAACAATGTGAGGCTGAAAGAAGAAGTAAGAATGTAATCATTGAGAGGGCAGGTCCCTCTCAAATCCACCCCTTCTCACTTATAACTAGTGGTCAGGCAAAAAAAAAAAAATAAAAAAAAAAATAAAAAAAAAAAAATATCGGAGATATTCTTTATATCATGAAATCGTTGTGTTGCAGTGTCTGACATAGTGAATATGATGACGGTATACAATATACTAGCCGCCATACTGTTGTTTCGGCTTTACTACTGTTTCTGCTGCCTCATATACACTCGACTGAAGAAGTCTACTGTGTAGGCGAAAAAATTCGGAATAAAGATAGCTAACTGTTGCACATGTGTCTTATCTGACCTTGACCCTAAACCCTGGGCAGTAAAATAAGAATCAACCTAACTTAGAAAGTAGCTGATTGACTCACCCGTCGCGGAAGTAGTGCGTACCTCGTTATCAAGTAGTCAAGAAAGTGGGAATAATTGTTATGCTGCAGCAAGAAGGGGATCTCGTCAGGGTCATAGTGGGCGATGAAGCGGTATTCGTGCATGTGTCGCAGAAGACAGTCAGTGAAGTAGACATTCTCCTGCGCGAACATTTCCTTGCGCTTCACTAGAGTCCACAGCCTGCGGTGCGCAGAGATGCGGGGGCATTTGACTTTGCGTCTTGGCACTCTGGATCTCATACACGAACGACTCCTAACAACAACTAAACTGCTTGAGTATTTAGCTTAAAAGTAACAACAAAGAGCATATAAAAACATCCCGGCATGATTGAGCTTCTCAGACATCTCTGAACTTCCCACCTGACTGGACAGTTTGACTGGGGGTCCTTTTGCAAGGACCTCGGTGGAAATAGGTCCCTTTGTCTGATTTTTGGGGATTATCCTTGGTAATTTACATACGTATGATACTGCACTTATGTGTACCCGTGCCTAAATAAAGTTACACTAAACCCGTACCTGCAGTCGGATTCTTTGTGCGCCCTGACCTATGTGTATAATTTAATTTATTTTCATCCGTTCCTATACACACACACACACACACACACACACACAAATAGAAGAATATTTAGTTATAAATGGATACAAGAACTACCAATACGGGCTCAGAGAAAGTTAAATCTGTAGAATCGCCTAGAGTCTCATGACAGTAATTGAAAAGAAATGAATATAGAGAAATATAGAGGATGCATCTTCCTAGACTGTACGAGAGTAACTGATGCAGTATTATACACAAAGCCTCTTTATAAACTGGAAAAGCACGTGGGAATAACAGGAAAGATACCAATGTGCATTTAGGAATACATGAAGAATGGAAGGCAGAGGATTATGGTAACAAAGGAGTTAACGAGGCGGACATAACTGAGAGGATTCTAACTTTGCTGCTTCAACACCAGTGTTATTGAGATACATTAATTAAATGGTAGAGGAAAATGAATTCAGCGGATCACTCCAGACGATGAAGAAAGTGCTAAGACAACACCCGGAGAGAACTGTGATAGATGGCCTGGACACACTGCAAGAGCGAACACGAAGGTGCTACTTCACTTCAATCCTAATAAACTCAAAGCCATGAGCATATAAGACAGGAGTGAGAAGATATCACATGTACGTGTTACAATCTGGAAGGAGAGATACTTTAGACAACATACAGGAACGTAGATTTGAGAATACCACAGCAAACATTTAGCTTAGAAGCTAAAGTGTATCACTTCAGAGGCTCATGAGAATTGTAGCTAAGCTAAAAATCTGTTTTAGGATCTTTAACAAAGGTTTATTTTCAAAATTATGGACAAATTATGTTTCGAAAATCTTGTATAAAGTAACAAAAAAATAATTATGCAAATGATCTGGGACTGAGAATCAACTATTAGAAGAGACTTAAAAAAACTCAGTCTAACATTATTACAGGTAGGACCCAGTTGAATGAAGTAAAGGGAAAAAAGTGTCGGGGAAAATAAATGCAGAGTGTAGTTAAAAATGCCATAGTTGGAAGTTGTAGTGATAAGACAGATAATACAAAGAATCTTAAAAGCAAAACAAGCATTTATAAACGTAATGTTAAACTTAAGAGAGTCAGGTGTAGTGAGCATGTGACGATGATTACCAGGTTGCAAGTTCGCAAGTCAGTGTAGTGTGTGTTGCTGGATGTTACCAGGTCAGGTTCCAGTCAGGTGTAGTGGTGCATGTTGCTGGATGTTACCAGGTCAGGTTCCAGAGTCAGGTGTAGTGGTGCATGTTGCTGGATGTTACCAGGTCAGGTTCCAGAGTCAGGTGTAGTGGTGCATGTTGCTGGATGTTACCAGGTCAGGTTCCAGAGTCAGGTGTAGTGGTGCATGTTGCTGGATGTTACCAGGTCAGGTTCCAGTCAGGTGTAGTGGTGCATGTTGCTGGATGTTACCAGGTCAGGTTCCAGAGTCAGGTGTAGTGGTGCATGTTGCTGGATGTTACCAGGTCAGGTTCCAGAGTCAGGTGTAGTGGTGCATGTTGCTGGATGTTAGCAGGTCAGTTCCAGAGTCAGGTGTAGTGGTGCATGTTGCTGGATGTTACCAGGTCAGGTTCCAGAGTCAGGTGTAGTGGTGCATGTTGCTGGATGTTACCAGGTCAGGTTCCAGAGTCAGGTGTAGTGGTGCATGTTGCTGATGTTAGCAGGTCAGGTTCCAGAGTCAGGTGTAGTGGTGCATGTTGCTGGATGTTACCAGGTCAGGTTCCAGAGTCAGGTGTAGTGGTGCATGTTGCTGGATGTTACCAGGTCAGGTTCCAGAGTCAGGTGTAGTGGTGCATGTTGCCGGATGTTACCAAGTCAGGTTCCAGAGTCAGGTGTAGTGGTGCATGTTGCTGGATGTTACCAGGTCAGGTTCCAGAGTCAGGTGTAGTGGTGCATGTTGCTGGATGTTACCAGGTCAGGTTCCAGAGTCAGGTGTAGTGGTGCATGTTGCTGGATGTTACCAGGTCAGGTTCCAGAGTCAGGTTGTAGTGGTGCATGTGCTGGATGTTACCAGTCAGGTTCAGAGTCAGTGTAGTGGTAGCATGTTTGCGGATGTTACCAGGCAGGTTTCAGTCAGGTGTATGGTGCATGTTGCTGGATGTTACCAGGTCAGGTTCCAAGTCAGTGTATGTGTGCATGTTCTGGATGTACCAGATCAGTTCAGAGTCAGGTAGTGTGATGTTGCTGATGTTACCAGTCAGTTACAGAGTCAGGTGTAGTGGTGCAGTTGCTGATGTTACAGCAGGTTCAGAGTCAGAGTGTCGGGTGCATGTTGCTGATGTTACCGTTCAGTTCAGGTCAGTGTAGTTGGGAAAGTTGCTGTGTTAGCAGGTCAGTTCCAGAGCAGTGTAGTGTGCAAAGTGCGGATGTTACCAGATCAGGTTCCAAGTCTGGTAAGTAAGTGCATGGTTGCGGATGTTACCGGGTCAGGTCCAGAGTCAGTGTGGTGCTGTTGCTGGATGTTACCAGGTCAGGTTCCAGAGTCAGGTGTAGTGGTGCATGTTGCTGGATGTTACCAGGTCAGGTTCCAGAGTCAGGTGTAGTGGTGCATGTTGCGGATGTTACCAGTCAGGTTCCAGGTCAGGTGTAGTGGTGCATGTTGCTGGATGTTACCAGGTCAGGTTCCAGAGTCAGGTGTAGTGGTGCATGTTGCTGGATGTTAGCAGGTCAGGTTCCAGTCAGGTGTAGTGGTGCATGTTGCTGGATGTTACCAGGTCAGGTTCCAGAGTCAGGTGTAGTGGTGCATGTTGCTGGATGTTACCAGGTCAGGTTCCAGAGTCAGGTGTAGTGGTGCATGTTGCTGGATGTTACCAGGTCAGGTTCCAGTCAGGTGTAGTGGTGCATGTTGCTGGATGTTACCAGGTCAGGTTTCAGAGTCAGGTGTAGTGGTGCATGTTGCTGGATATTACCAGGTCAGGTTCCAGAGTCAGGTGTAGTGGTGCTTCAACCAGCTCTAGAATGGGAATGACAAGGGCAGACAGGAGAGTGGTACCCACATAACCTCTGCGATTGCCAAAACCATCTTTTTATTGGCTGGAACCTGGGTACTGGTTGAACGACGGGGCTCCATCGTCAACCCTCAGTTACCTGGTTCGCTGGTTGGGGGAGATAGCTTATAAATGAGGGTGTGTACATGCGCCGAATAAAGGTAACGTACTCTTTGCATGCCACAGAGGAGGCAGATCATGGTAATGAATATGATATTGTGTATATGGACTTCAATAAGGCTTTCGATAGAGTTCCACACCAGAGGCTATTGAGGAAACTTAAGGTACACGGAATAGGAGAAATTTTTTCCTGGGTAGAGGCATGGCTGGCAAATAGACAGCAGAGAGTTTGCATAAATGGGGAGAAATCAGAATGGGGGCACTGAGCACATCACAAGCGGTGTTCTTCAGGGGTCTGTGTTGGGCCCGTTGTTGTTCACAATTTACATAAACGACATAGATAGGGGAATAAATAGCGACATAAGCAAATTTGCTGATGACACCAAAATAGGCCGTCCAATTCATTCTAATGAGGACACTAGAGCACTCCAGGATGATTTGAATAGACTGATGCAATGGTCGGAGAAGTGGCAGATGCAGTTTAATACTGACAAATGCGAAGTTCTAAATGTTGGACAGTTAAATAACCATGCCACATATAAACTAAATAATGTAGATCTTAATACTACTGATTGCGAAAAGGATTTAGGAGTTCTGGTTAGCAGTAACCTAAAACCAAGACAAGAGCGCATTAGAGTTCGCAATAAAGCTAACAGAATTCTTGGCTTCATGTCTAGAAGTATAAATAATAGATGTCCTCAGGTTGTTCTTCAACTCTATATATCCTTGGTTAGGCCTCATTTAGACTATGCTGCTCATTTCTGCTCACCGTACTACAGAATGGATATAAATGCTCTGGAAAATGTACAGAGGAGGATGACAAAGATGATCCCATGTATCAGAAATCTTCCCTATGACGATAGACTGAGGGCCCTGAATCTGCACTCTCTCGAAAGGCGTAGAATTAAGGGGGGATATGATTGAGGTGTATAAATGGAAAACAGGAATAAATAAAGGGGATGTAAATAGTATGCTGAAAATTTCCAGCCAAGACAGGACTCGCAGCAATGGTTTCAAGTTGGAAAAATTCAGATTCAGGAAGGATATAGGAAAGCACTGGTTTGGTAATAGAGTTGTGGATGAGTGGAACAAACTCCCGAGTACAGTTATTGAGGCTAAAACGTTGTGTAGTTTTAAAAATAGGTTAGATAAATACATGAGTGGGTGTGGGTGAGTGTGAGTTGGACCTGACTAGCTTGTGTTGCTGGATCTGGTGCCGTGCTCCTTCCTTGAGTGGTGGTGACCAGAATGGGTGGGTCACTGGGCTAATCCGGGGAGGGTCATTGGGCTAATCAGGGGGGGGGGATGATGGGTCAGTAGGCCTGTTGCAGTGCTCCTTCTTTCTTATGTTATGTTCTTATGTACTGTTAACCCGGTTACCAGTGAAGATATTAAAGCAGTCTACCACCCTTTAGTAAGTAAGTTTATTCAGGTATACACAAATACAGTTACATAGAATTATCATACATAGCAGCATGTGTGTAGAGAACCTGGGATAACCCAAAAAAGTCAGACAGAGTGACTTATTTCCATTGTGGTCCTTTCTTCAGTGTTATATTTAGTAACCATCATGTAACCAGTTTTTTTTTTTTTCATTATCATCTCTGCTGCTGGCTCGGTCATCCAGAGTAGACGCTAGATTTATTGGAGCGAGAACTCAGTCAACGAGACAGTGGGACAATGGGATTTTCTGAACATCTGACTAACACCGCCTACCCAGGATAACAAAAATAAATTCTTCTAAACATCTAAGAAGATTCTCCTAACTGAAGATCACACTGGAACCAACGGCGGCTATTTTTTTTTTTTTTATTTTTAAGTAAAATACTTATAAAAAAATTCACTATTATTATTCCTCAGTGATTCATTTTTCCACACTTCTGTTCAGGCGGAAGGTGTTCCCCTGACACCTTCTTTGCTTCCATGAATAACGTTCTTTGTCTCCACAGATGTCTCATTGCACCATTCACCTTTTTCTCTTCATCAGTTCTATTGATAACCTCGTCCTTCATATACTCATCCTCCGACACGTTCACTCCCAAATATCTGAACATTCACTTTCATACTCCCTCCGTCTAATCTGATATCCAGTTTTTCCTTACCTAACTCGCTTGATACCCTCATCACTTTACTCTCATCTATGTTCACTTGCAACTTCCATTACACACCATGAAATATGGGTTTACATATGATAATTTCTGAGTTCCTCATCCGATTGTCTTCAATGCTTCAGCAATGATAATCTGAGAGGTTTTAAATTTAAGGTATTTTAGGATATTGTTCTCTCTTTGGCTTTAAAGCTGATGTTTCCTAGTGGAAGGTTTAACTTTGTTTTGGGATTTATAAATCCATATTTGCCATATTGTTTTTTAAAAATGGGATATCAGTTTCCATGTGATAACTTTTGAATATCTATTATGATTCACGTAAAGTCTTTAGTGGTAATATTTAACTGCATTAGAAACTTATGCCGCGCTCTATCCCGGGCATTGAGGTATGTGTGTTCTGGAGTTATGCAATAATGGCATACGGTTTTTTGATAGCGCCTCTGCCAAAATGCATGACGTTGTAATACAAACTGACATTGTCCCTCCAAGGCAAGATAATCAGAACAGTTAAAGCATATTCACCCTCACTCATTTCCTTGGTGTCTATCCAAAAAATGCTGTGATATCAGGACCTAAACCTGTTATCTGTCAATACCTGCCTAGAAAAGTTGTGTAGGTAACCCTACCTGCGAAGACTTGGCTCGTTGATATATGGTGGTGGGTAATAGTAGTTGATGAGATGGACAAAGCCGTCATCCTCGTAGTACTTGAGGACCTTCTCCAAGTTAGGATGAACGTCAGTAACGTAGAGGAACACTTTACCAATGCCCTCCGCCCTCAGGATCTCCAGCCACTCCACCATTCTCTTGGAGAAGTCTTCGTGGTAGTAGTAGAGAGCTGGACCACACACAGCTGGTACCCACCCATTCACTGTCCTGCGGGAGATATACTTGAACAAACTGCAAGTTTTACCAGTATTGATTGTAACCTGGTTATGACTGTAACCTGCCAGCAAATAAACCCCACCCCCCTAAATTCCATTAATATAACGACATTTATCTTTGCAAACATACAGGGTTTAAAGCCGTCAATAAACAACACAATTCGTTACATCAAGGGACTGCTCAATGTGAATGCTGCAATGTTTGCGGCATTCACAGAGACCCACATAAAGGATCATTTTGACAACGAAAATTGAAAATTGACCATTCCCAACTCCTACTCCAAACATCTTGCTACTGGTCTATTTCAACCTGAGACACCTAAAATGGAGGAGTGTAGCAAATAATATTTTAGCTCAGATGAAAATTCAAACACACACGAGCTATTAAATCTCTGCACCAAATTCACTTTAAACCAGCAAATATTAGAGTCTACAAGACTAGAAAATACACTGAACCTCATCTTCACTAACAACGACGATCTGATGCGTAATATAACCGTAACAAAGACAATACACTCAGATCACAACATAATAGAGGTACAGACGTGTATGCACAGGGCTCCTGACCAGCAAAATGTGATCATTCATGAGGGTGTCTTCACAAAATTCAACTTCAGTAACAAAAACATAAAATGGGAACAAGTCAACCATGTTCTAAATGACACAACTTGGGAGGATATCCTAAACAACATGGATTCGAACCTTCGCCTAGAAAAAAAATAACTCTGTAGCACTTGAGGTCTGCTCAAGGCACATTCCATTAAGAAAGAGAAGATGTAAACTAGAGAGAGACGCTCCCTGTACAGGCGAAGGCGAAGAATCACAGAGCTGCTGAGAGGCGCCAATATATGTGAAAAACGAAGGGAGCCACTAGTCAGAGAAATAGCAAATATCGAACTTAAGCTTAAGAATCTTACAGGAGACAAACATCTCAGGAAGAACTAAAAGCCATAAAGGAAACTGAAAAAAACAAGATACTTCTTCTCTTACGCCAAATCTAAAGGTAAAACAAATTCATCCAGTATTGGGCCCCTGGGTAGTCAAGATGGGACCTACACAAATGACAGCAAAGAAATGAGTGAGATACTAAAGTTCTAATATAACTCAGTTTTCAGCGAGCCGTTAACCAGACTGAGGGTCGACAATCTAAATTATTTTTTTTATGATCGAGACGCAAAATTTGGTCATCTCAAAAATCTCTGATATTATCCTAACACCACAAGACTTTGAAAAGGCAATAAATGGCATGCCCATGCACTCTGCTCCAGGTCCGGACTCATGGAATTCCGCGTTCATCAAGAACTGCAATAAGCCTCTATCACGTGCCTTTAGCATTCTGTGGAGAAGTATGGATATAACGAAAAAGATTATTTGGTAAGGTGTTGCAAGCGGGTGGTTAATGATAAACTTCTTCGGAGGCTTCTTACTTTATTGTTAAGTAGTGGTGGGTAAACAGGCTTGTGTGTAGTGCCCATGGCCCGGGAGGGCCATGCCCACGAGAGAGAGCTGGGAGTCCTTGTGCCTTCCTGCTAGGCCGCTGTGTGAGTGAGGGTGAGGCAAGTCTGGGCATACTGAAGTGGCAAGGCCTAATGATGGCAGCACCTGAGTGGCGCGAAATATGAACTAAGCTGGCAGACAGCATGGGCTGTCTGTGCAGACAGTACAGGCTGTCTACATGGACACAGGGGTTATCCCACACTCACTAAAAACAACAGACATAGCCCCACTCTACAAAGGTGGTAGTAAGGCAATTGCAAAGAACTACAGACCAATAGCACTAACATCCCATATCATAAAAATCTTTGAAAGGGTTCTAAGAAGCAAGATCGCCAACCACCTAGATACCCATCAATTACATAATCCAGGGCAACACAGCTTTAGAGCAGGTCTCTCCTGCCTGTCCCAGCTACTGGACCACTATGACAAGGTCCTGGATGCCACAGAGGGTAAATAAAATACAAATGTAGTATAAACAGACTGCAAAAGCGTTCGATAAATGTGACCATGGTGTAATAGCGCACAAAATGCGTGATAAAGGAATAACAGGAAAAGTTGGTAGATGGATCTATAACTTCCTAACAAATAGAACACAAAGAATAACAGTTAACAGAGTAAAGTTTGAGGCAGCTACGGTGAAAAGTTCTGTTCCACAAGGCACAGTACTCCCTCCCATCCTATTCCTCATCTTCATATATATGACATAGACAGAGATGTAAGCTATAGCTCCATATCTTCCTTTGCGGATGACACCCTCCAAGCGGACATCAACCAAATCTTCAAATGGGCCATTCAAAACAATGTGAAGTTCAGTGAAAAGAATTTTCAACTACTCAGATATGAAAACTTGAGAAAATTAAAACTGTATCAGGGTATACAACAAATTCTAAGCATACAATAGATCGAAAAGTAATGTGAAGGACCTGGGAGTGATAATATCAGAGGATCTCACAATCAAAGGCCACAACAATGTATCAACCGCATCTGCTAGAAAAATGATAATATGGACAATGAGAACTTTGAAAACTAAGGAAGCCAACCCCATGATGATTCTCTTCAAATCGCTTGTGCTCTCTAGGCTGTAATATTGCTGTATACTAACTGCCCCCTTCAAGGCAGGCGAAATTGCTGACCTGGAGAATGTACAAAGAACTTTCACGGCACATATAAGTACAATAAAGCATCTAAATTACTGGGAACGGTTGAAATCCCTTGATTTATATTCCCTGGAACGCAGGCGAGAAAGATACGTGATAATATACACTTAGAAAATCCTAGGAATATTAGTACCAAACTTTTACACGAAAATCACTCCCTATGAAAGCAAAAGACTCGGCAGGAGATGCAACATTTCCCCAATGAAAAACAGGGTCGCCACGAGTATACTGAGAGACAACACAATAAGTGTCAGGAACCCAAGACTACTCAACTACCTCCCAGCATACATATGGGGGATTACCAATAGACCCCTGACTGTCTTCAAGGCGCTGGACAGGCACCGAAAGTCAGTACCTGACCAGCCGAGCTGTGATTCGTACATCAGTTTGCATGCGGCCAGCAGTAACAGCCTGGTTGATCAGACCCTGATCCACCACGAGGCCTGGTCTCAGACTGGGCCGCGGGGCCGTTGACCCCCAAGCATACTCTAGGTATGATTTCTTCACTGTATACTTCAGGAATACACACTATTCAATTGCTTTATTCACTGCATGTTTACCTTAGTTACGTGATAATAATGTTGTTGTATTAATGTGATTCCTTACTTTATTTTCATGCTATCTATTTAATGCGCTCCTTCCTAGTGTCTTAATAAAAGAAATAAGTATATATTACATTTCTAGTTATTTGGACTAGATTAATCTTTTATATCTCGTTATTATAACTTTTGACATTCTGTATTAAAACCCAGGCTTCCAAATGGCCTGTTACCCCGGGTGTAATGGGAGCAAATAAACACAGTACAAAAAGTTTAGACTTATATTATCCTTCACCAGTTTAGAACAGCAATATGTACACTATGTACAGTGATAAGTATAGTGCACTCCACGGTAAGCAAAGCAGAAATAGAAGCCACAAGATAGCAGACCGTGCTTCAACCAGCTCTAGAATGGGAATGACAAGGGCAGACAGGAGAGCGGTACCCACATAACCTCTGCGATTGCCAAAACCATCTTCTTATTGGCTAGAACCTGGTCACTAGTTGAACGACGGGGCCCCATCATCAACTCTTAGCAACCTGGTTCGCTGGTTGGGGGAGATAGCCTGTAAATGAGGGTGTGTACATGCGCCGAATAAAGGTTACGTACTCTTTGCATGCCACATTCTGCTTTATTTAAGTTATCCTTAATTAATGTATTAAGGTCAATATTAAGTTTAGATTCTAATTTTGAACTCAGCCATTTAGCCATTTAGGAAACATCAGCCACAACAATGCTTCTCTGTGAGGTGGAATGTACGTTAGAATGTCGGTTAGATTATGTTCGGTTAAGTTAGCCTAAGTTAGGTTAGCGTTGGTTAGATAAAATTGGGATAAGTTAGGATGTGCTAGGATAGGTTAGGTTAAATTAGCAACTAAACCTAACCTAATAAATAATTATTCTAAAGTGGGGTTCCCATTTACTGTTTAGGACGGACGGTACAAAAACTAAAACATGTGCTACACTCTGAAGACATTTCTAAACTACATATTTCACTGGACCAGCGGATTTCTTAAGTGTACATTAAGCGCTGATTGGCCCAGCGAGTCACGTGACTGAACTATCGTTTCATTGGCCAGGCATGTCCTAAGAGGTCAATTTTATCACATACTGTACCTCATAAAAATTATTGTGGCTGATATCTCTTAAAATAAAAATTTGCACCATAAATGAATCTTGTTCCCTGCCAATGGTCAGAGTATTTGTATTTACAAGCATAAGTAAATGATTGAGTTCAGACCTGGACCTAGACTCATTATTGCCCTATATTAAAATTAACTTTATAAGTTGTAACACTTTTCAAAGTGTTACAACTTATAAAGTGACGACCTAGGAGTCGTCATTCATAAGAGAGTTCAGCATAAACATCACATAAAAGGCATAGTGAAACCTAGCTTTTGTGAACTAATTTTTAAGATGCCCAGCATCTTTGCTCTGAAACTAATTAAAGATTCTGTCTTACATCAGAAATACTCAGTCAAGAAAAAATGGAAATCTTAGCTCAAATACTCCTATGCAGCACTAGGCAACTGTGAATAGTACTGAGCTAAGTGGACGAGGAAATGGTGTAAAACCTGTTCATAACATGTTTCAAAATAAAATTTAAATAAACAGTGATATGTTAGTCGAGCTACTACAGACCTATAGCACTAATGTCCCATATCATAAAAATCTTTCAAATGGTTCTAAGAAGCAAGATCGCCACTCATCTTGATATCCATCGGTTACACAACCCAGGGCAACATGGGTTTAGAGCAGGTCGCTCGTGCCTCTCAACTACGACAGTCACACATGATAA